GAAGGTGTTAATGGTGAAATCACTAGGACTATCGAGGAGGTTGTGAACGGAGGAGTGGTTTAAGCTCCACATGTTAGAACCCTATAACATATTCCTTTTCCTATGTTTATGGAGTTTATTGCTTAGAATTGTAAGGGGCTGTTGCTAAAGCTTTCCCTAATAAAGTTTGTGATCTAGTAAGGGGAAGAAATGTTAATATTCTAGCACTTTTTGAAACCAAAGTTAGAGGTGGAGAAAGCAGATACAATTTGCAAAAAGCTAGGATTTTCCAATTAGTTGAAAGTTGAAGCCACATGATTTTTAGTAGTATTTGATTGTTATGGAATAGTAATAAATTTACTATTAATTATGTGTTTTCTAACAATCTGCATGTGATGGAAAATGGGGGCATTAATAGTTTTTGGTTATCATGTGTTTATGCTGAGATGAATTATGTTCTGAGAAAGGCACTATGGAATAGTCTTGAAATTTTGGGGGCAAATATTAATGATCCTTAGTTAGTGGCAGGGATTTTAATACTTTTCTTTCTAAAGAGGATAAATAGGGGGGCCTCACCGAACTTACTATCAATGCAACAATTTAATATAGCAATCCATAAGGCTAAGCTTATAGAGTTGGATATGTGGGAGATAGATTCACCTGGGAAAACAACAATATCAAAGAAAGGATTGACTGGGCATTCTCTAATTATGAATGGAATCTTGCCTTTCATGATTTCAAAGCTTTTCATTTGGGGAGATTTGGCTCAGACCATTATCGTATCTGCATTATGAATGTCAATCATCAGAATCAATGTTGATTCCAACCTGTTTTCAAGTGCCAAGCAGCTTGGTTTTAAAAGAAGGCTTTGATGAAGTTGTTAGTCAATGTTGGGAGGATGGAGATTAGAATGTTAAGGTTAAAAGGTTTGAACAAGTCACCAACTACTGGAACAAATCCAGAATAGGCAATATTCTAAGGAAAAAGAGACACCTTTTGTATAGGTTCACAGGAATTGATGCTGCTAGAAGTAGAAAGGACTCTTAATATTTACAACAAGTATAAGCAGAGCTGTGGAAGGATTATAACAAGGTGTTGGCTCAAGAAGAACTTCTCTAATACTAGAAGTCTAAATGCAATAGTTGAATTGGGGAGATAGAAGCAGTAAGTTTTTACATGCTACTATTGCCATTAGGAGAAAAAAGAACAAAATTGAGGCTTTGAAGGATGGTGATGGAAATTGGATTTTTTATCATGAGAAATTACAAGATAATGTTGTTTCCTACTATAAAAAATTTTTCCAAGCTGAAATGGTTGATGTAATCAATACTCATTCTAATAAAAACATATCTGAAGCTTAGAAGTTACATTACTTCTTTGTCTTGTGAGGTGTCAGATGAGGAGATTAAGCAAGCCACTTTTGAAATTAGTACTTTCAAGGCTTTAGAACCCGATAGAATTCAAGCTATTCTTTACCAACAATACTAGGAAGCCTTGAGGGTTTCAATATGTACTATGGGTAAGGAGATATTTTGGGAATCAGGGAAGCTTGAGAGAATTAATTGTACACACATAGTTCTCATGCCTAAGATAGATAGACTGAAATGTATGAAAGATTTCGGACCAATCTCATTATGCAATATGAGCTATAAAATAGTTTCAAAGGTGATTGCTAATAAAATTAAAGGTCTTATGCCCCACTTATAAAGAATCACTAGAGCAGTTTTATAGCGGGAGGACAAAGTAGTTATAACATAATCATAGCCCAAGAGGTGATCAATATGATGATGAAGACAAAAAGAAAGAAAGGCTTGGTGGCGGTGAAGGTCGATCTTGAGAAAGCTTATGATATACTTGAATGGCCTTTTATCAGAAGATACTTGAAAGAGGTAGGCTTTAGAGAAGACTTTTGTAAAGTCATCATGACGTGTATTAACACCCTAACAACAAAAGGGATGTAGAATGGTGTATCTTCCAATGAATTCAAACTATCTCGCAGCCTCAAGCAAGGTAACCCTATCTCCCCTTACATATTTACCTTATGCATGGAAAAGCTGAGCCACTTCATTGAAGATGAAATTGCTAGTGGTGAGTGGAAACCCATCCAGCTAGTTTAAGATAAGCCCAGATTATCACACTTGTTTTTTACAAATGACTAGATCCTTTTTTGTGATGCTTCTCAAAACCAAATAGAAGCTATGAACAGAGTTATGGGTAAATTCAATGCAGCATCAGGCCAGAAAATAAATAAGAGAAGACTAAGCTCTTTACCTCAATAAATGTTCACATTACCAGAGCACAAGAACTGAGTCATGATTTAAGAGTTAGTTTAACTAGATTCGGGAAAATACTTAGGGATACCTCTTATTCACAAGAGAGCCACCAAAGCCTTCTTTACCCCTCTCCTATGCAGAGCTAGGAAAAGGTTATGAAGTTAAAAGAGCAAGTTTCTTACGCTAGTAGGAAGATCTGTCTTGATTAAGTCTGTTCTCTCAACTCTACCTAGTTACTACATGCAGATGATCTTATTGCCTATAGGTATTCTGAATAAGCTAGAGAAAGTGAATAAGGAGTTCCTTTAGGGAGAGAGTAAGGGAAATAGGAAGCTGCACCTTTTGTCTTGGGAAACTATCCAAAACATAAAGAATTTAGTGGATTGGGTATAAGGAATTGAAATTTGAGAATTAGGCTTTCATATGGAAGTTATATTGGGGATTGGTCACCAACCCAAAAGCATTATAAGCCCAAATACCATGATCTAAATATAAATGTGGGGATGGCTCTTTACTAGAAATCAAAAGCAAGGTAGGAGCTTCAATTAGTTAGTTGGAGAAGTATAACTAAGGTGTGGGATTCCTTCCAACACAAATTGGGGAGAAAAGTGCTATCGGGCTATCAAACTTCTTTTTGGCTTGATAAATGGTTAGCAAACAAACAAGCTCTAATTGAGTTTGTGAACAATGGTAGGGAGTTTGTTGATATGAATGCATCTGTGAGGGATTATGTTCTCCCCTTGAGAGGTTAAGACACTTTCAAACTATTACCTTAGCTACCTATTCATGTGATGGATCTTATTACTAATACTAGAGTTCCAAATGAAGAGAGTGTGGAGGATAAACACATATGGCTTTTTTCTATTAGTTATTCTTTGCTTTTGCAGTTGTTAAAGAACCCAAAGACCCTATTTGGCAAATGATTTAGAGATGGCCTATCCCGAAGAAAATTAAGACCTTTTCTAGCAAATAGCTCATAACAGAGTGCATACTAATGAGTTCATATCACAAAGAAGCCTAAATACAACAGTCTCGTGCCCGTACGGTTGTAATGAAGTGGAGGACGTAATGCATCTCTTTCGTGACTGTTAACATGCACAACGTTGGTATAATACATATGTCTAACTGACTTGGTAGAGAAATTCTACAAATTGGACATAAAGGAATAAGTGACTTGGAACATAAAAGCACAGGTGGAAAACTCTTCCACAAAATCAGTTCTTTAGAATGTGTTGTGTAACAGCCCCAGCCCCAGCCTCTCCCCCTGGACTTTCATCACATTGGACACACCTCCCCCTAAACCCTATATGGGATGACCCCTCTTAAGAGAGCGTTAGGAGACAAGGCTTCCCTATAATAGTATGTGGAATTATATTCCTGCCACTAGTTCAGTGGTACCAGGTTCAGCCTCAACTTCTTCAAGTAAGAGAGGTTGGAAGATCAAGCCTGGGGAGGCTCTCCTCACAATATTTATTGCAAGATTATAATCCCACATACTACTGTGGAAAAGCCTTGTCTCTTGAAGCTTTTTTAGGAGGGATTGTCCCGTGTGGGGCCTAAAGGAAGATGTATCCAACACGATGAAAGTCCAAGGGGAGATGCCCTTGATGAGCTAGGACTGTTACATTTTAAATCCCCATTCCCATTTCCATATCTATATCTATTTTCACTTTTATATCTATTTTTATTTTCATTAAAAATCACTTTTATTGTACCAAACGATGCAATAGGATTTTATTTATTTAGAATATAAATTTTATTTTGAATTAAAGTTAATTTATGGACTTGTGGTGAAAAGTCTGACTTATATGATTATATTAAAATTTTTTTTCTTAGTTGCTCTCAAGAGCCTTTTTTTTAATGAAGGATGCTAATTAATAAGTTAAAAATTATCAATAAATATGTTTATTATATAATTCCAAGAGAAAATTAAAAAAATCTAAAAAATCATCCAAGTTTGATCCATACTTTGAACCAAACCAAATTGAAAAGAAAACCAAACCAAACCAATTAAGTATGAATGCTTGATAATTTTAAAGAGAATGTGGGTTAATTAATTTTTTTATCAGGGCAAGTGTGATTTTGACAAAAAAGCAATAAGTGTATTTTTGGCAAATTTCTTAGGGGCAATTGGGAACTCCTCCTCTAAGGTGGGTACGTCCCTAAACTGGCTTGGTTCACTTTATTATTTTTGCCCAAAATCTAATCAAATCTAACCATGAATCATAGTATAAAAATTTATGTCAAGCACCCAATTGAATAAGCAAACGGTTAAACCAATGCTTGACCAAATTTATTTAACTATAATTTTTATCATTAATTTTTAAACTAATATCGGATCTGTTTGGATACTCCTCAAAGTCAATTATACGAACCAAAATCATGATTTTAAAAATGTTTATGCAAACACTCCACTTTCTCAAAATCTCATTTACCTCTCAGAACTCCATTTCGCAGAAGCTTATTTTTCCTCCATTCTAGAATCCGTTCTGGCATTTGAGCATTTTTCCCATCTTTTTCCCCCTCATTTCCCTTTCTTTATTGTAATTTTCATATTTAAAATTAATTTTAAAAAATTATTCAAATATCTTCAATTTTATTAAAATTAATTTAAAAAATATTATCCAAACATCATTATGTTTTAATAATCACTTTTTTTTTATAATCAGTTTTCTCTAATTAAAATCTAAACACACCCTTAATGATCAATCCGTTTTCACTTCGTTGCCATGACACCCTCATGTCCAGTACACCAGGGACGTAGAGTATCTTAGTAGTAACATTGGCATGTATACACAGTAGAGGCAAGACGAAGTGCTCGCAGAAACTTCGTCTTGCAGAAACTATATATATATATATATATATATCGACGATAAACCCAAACACTAATTAACAAGCACTCAATCTCATCACATTATTTCCATCTTCTCATCCTCACACAATCATGCCGATGAACTTTTCGGATTCGTCACAACAAATTTCTTCGGATTCTTGTCCGCCGCTGCGCCTTTGCACCCGTCGATCAATGCTGTCAGATCAAACGGCGCAACTTCGTGGGCGAGCCACTGATCGACGCAGAAGACGGACTGCGAGCAGTTCTTGTGGGGCCCGGTCGACGTGACCTCGATGTATTCACAGAACCAGCTGTGGTGAGCTCCGGCGCCGTCGGAGGTAAGGTTAAGGCGGCAGATCGGCGAACCGATGCAGGGACCACGGCCACTGAAGATGTCGCGGTTGCCTCGCTTAAAGTAGTCGTGCGTGGGACCCATGAGGCCCCATGACCAGAGGTTTGGGATCCACACTGATCGGCCTGAGGCATCGCTGAGCGTCACGCTGATTTTGGAATCAGTTCCGGCTTTGATCATCGAACCTGTCTTCACATATAAGGTATAAACGCATTTCCTCTGTTCGATGAAATGTCTACGTGAGATCATCATGTTATACTAAACAACATCACACTGATCCAGTAAATAAAGTATAATGGCTATCAAATCTTTAGTTTATTGGAATGCAATTTATATTTGAGAAAATCTATATATGCCAAAACACAAGAGGGAAAAATTGATTTAATTTTGGAGATCCAAATGATATGTAGCTCTTTATCATGTTAAACTTCGATCTGGGGATAGCTTTAGATGTATCCTTAAGAAATAATGGTAGTGATGATGAAGAACTTGAATTCTTGCTTAGATTTGATGGATAGCTGAAGAAAGAATGAGATCTTTAAAGAACGATGAATAAGAATTGAAGAAAACTTACATCGGAGCCTCCAGAAACTGCGGCGAGGAAGAGAGCTAGACATAGCGAAGAGAGTATGCAACTCTTCATTTTCACGAGTCACTTACTTTCTCAGTAACTACTGCTCGTGTGTTGATTATGTTGTATGCTGCTGATTTTATGGTATTTATAGTCAATTTTCTTGTTCAAAAGATAAAAGATTGACTCTAATACAAGAATTTAGTCATATAATGTAATTAATCAAAGTTCGAATTTTCCTTTGGAGATGTACTCCCGTTTATTGTGAGAGAGTGTTTCAAAGTGTTTTAGTAGGAAAACACACCTGTCCACATAGAAGAAATGATAACAAATAGGTAACCAAACTTGAATGATTTTTAAATACCAGTTATATTCATTTACATAGGATTATTTTGGTTTAACATGCATGGTTTAATTTAACATGCAAAACTCAACTCTTCATGCATGTTAAAAAATCTATAACTGAACTTGAATGATTTTTAAATGTGAGTTATATTTATATTTATTTTCTTCATGACTTAAAAAATATAATAAATATATAAATTTTAATGATGAAAAAATCAGACCAAACTGAATGATTGGACTGTCGACCAATTAAGCTAATGGCTTGATTAAGCTGGAAAAACTATTTGGAGAGTTGGACTAAATTAAGCCACTTTGGACCAACAGTTAGACTAGAAACTGAAATCAAGTCAGAAATTAAATCCATTTTTTAAAACCCAAATGGTTCAAAAATACCATTGTTCTTTTTTTATATTTTTAATTAATTTTTTTTAAAAATGATTAATTTTTTTAATTATTTGATATTATATTGTATCATGTAACTTGTTAAATAAACTTAAAATATTTGGTTTTGTTTTTAAGTTAAAATAATAATTATATATTTATTTTTCATATTTATATTATTATATACTCATAATTTTTTAATTTAATTATTATATTATTAATTTGATAATTGATTTAACTGGATTAGACGATGAAAATCCTAAATTGCTAACTTTTTCTATTTAATATGGGGTTCAATTTTAAAAATACTGGTAAATTTACATGAAGATTGTGACGGGACGCAAGCGACAACGGGGTGGGGACAAGCGCTCAGTGCACTAGTGACAGAGTGGCATGTTAGAAATATTTAAATGCAAACGTTAGTCTCATGGATTGCACCGCCATAACAAATAATATTTTTTTAAGCCAACGAAGAAAATACATTTCCATTATAATTTCACCATAACAAAAATAGCTGACTTACGGATGGTTTAATATTTCAAAAATTGTTCAAATAAGCTCCCAACAAATAAGTAGTTTGATTTATATGTATATAAATATATTTTTTTATCATCAATATTTTTCATTGAAATATATTTTTATAAAAAAACTTATATACTCCACTTTATATAATTAAAATGATTATTTTTAATTAAATAAAGACATGTAGATTTTTTTAGATTATTTATTTTATAATAAATTCTTGTTATTAATTTAATAACACATTAAAAAGTCACTTATCTTAATTTAATTGAATATGTTAAGTATATAAAGTTAAATATACAAGTCTTGCCTTATTTTTACGTAGGTTATATACTTATTATAAAAGTTAAGCTATATATCCATTCCAATAATATGTTTTAGAAATCTAATACAGACGCAAAATCTCTCCCAAAATAGGGAAAATGACAAAAAAAAACCTTTCAAAATTTGCAAATAACAATTAAATAGTTCAAAATGTGATTATTATTATTTAATCCTTAAGGACCTGTCTACAATTTTAAATTTTGACAAAATGACATATTTGACCTTAATGATTATTATAGGAAATGATTACTTTTTGGTTACGTTATTGATTAAAATGGAACAAAGAATAATTACTTTTTTATGTAAATTTGTTTATCATGGTACAATTAAAATAATCATTTTCAAAAAAAGTAGTAGTTATTTTTAATTCATTTATAAATCATAAATTTATTTAAAAATAATCATTTTTATTGTGTTTTAGTCAATAACACAATTAAAATAGTCATTTCCTACAATAGTTGTTGGAAAAATATCATTCCATAAAAAATTAAAATGCCAAAATATAAGCAGTTTTAAGAAAAAAATTCAAAATATAAGCAGTTTTCCATTAAAAACTAAATAATTACTCCCTCTGATTCAAAATATAAACAGTTTTAAGAAAAAATTCATATATTAATAAAGGCCTAGTTCCCATAAAAATATATATTAATTTTTCTTTTTACCTCTAAACTCCAGAGTCAAAAATATTTACACAAAAACCTAGATTAATAAATACAATAAATAAAATAAAAAATTAATATATTAAGTTGCTCATAATTTGAACTAAGATTAACTAAGAAAAAATATTTATATTTAGACCAAAAGAAATATCATATTTGGTGATACTTAATTGTCATGTATATTTTGAGATTTTTTTTTTTTTTGGGTCATTCTCCCGAAATGATTTTTTCAAATAAGCAATAACACTTCTAAACAATGCAAAAACAACTTAGTGCATGTTTGATGAGTGACAGAAGACTCCAAAACACAGTTTAAAAGTTCAAAACCAACCCTATCGTGGCTGGGTTAAACTAAACATAAATGGTTCAATCAATAATACTGGACATGCTTCATCCTTCTTGTGGAGTGCTGATCAAAGATAATGAAAACATATGGAGATGTGGCTTTCCAAAGATAGAACTCATGGTTATCTAAGAGGATTTAAGAAAATAAACCATGCTGCTATTTATTACTTACCAATAACATGACTTATTAAAATTTAATATTTGATATTAATATTTGGATCCAAAAAAAAAATATTTGATATGAATATTGATAGTGATAATATATCAATAATTGCAGGATCACCGCCACAAGAATGGCAAGAAAAAATATCAAGCGGAATCAAGTGTCTTGGGAGTAAATAACAGCATGTTTCATGAATGGCGTGTCAAACTATCAATTATGTACATATAAATATCTGTCCAACCTCCAGTAAAGCACATGGCCATAATTTACATGACATGTAGACTTTATCAAACTAATACTGGTTGTAGTTTTAATATGTGCAGCAAAGAAAGAAAAACAGGTTAAAGCTCTGGTACACCAGATTGAATCAACGGAGGAGAAGCAGAAAAGTCTGGTTAATACTTGAATTTGCAGCTTCCATCTGCAAAATCCAACAAGTTCAAATCTCATTAAAAGGGCATTATATAATATCATCAGTATCTCAGCAAAGCCACACATGATAGCCAATAAAGATACCATAGCAATAACAAGTCTTAACCCATTAAATGGAGTCCGCTACATGAATTGCACAATATCATTATAATTTATCATCAACCAAGTCTTTGAAAATATTGTTGATCAAGATGTCTAATTCAACAACTTACAAAAGTATTCTCTTTAGTTTTTATCTATTCACTCTTTACAGGTTCAAGATGGCAACAGACATTTTTGTGCTAATGGCTAATAAACATAGGGCAAAAGAAAAAGAAAAGGAACTTTTACTGTTCTACCCAAGCAAAAACAAGCTGAAAATTAAAGATACACATATAAATGCATCAACTACAATGATTAGCCAAATTCATTATCATTCAGTCTCGTACTAAAAAAAAACCAAATTCATGATCATGTGCACAGAAATGGGCGAGCATTCATCCCATTTACCACAGCTAAATGCATAGCTACATGTGCAAATTAATCGAATTGTTTGTAAATTACAATTTGAATATGACTTGCTAGAAGTTTGGATTTCACCCAACTTATTTATAATAAAAGAGCTAAAAACATATTAAAGCATTTATTTTTGGTCACCAATAAAGAATAACAATTCTTTGTACATGACTTCACAAGTCGTCAACAAATAGAATCGTTTATATCTAATCAAATATTATAACATTTATAGTTCCAAGTTTATTTCTTACATAAACACAAATGTAAGCTTGTTTAGATTATATATGCATGCATGCAAGTACTCATTATATATCTTCAGCATTGTTTATGAACTCCTCAAGCTGGACTCCTTTACGAAAGGGAGTCAAGTTTGATCACAATTATTGACATAAATAAAGCTGAGGTCAGCGTATCTAAATAAACAAGAGCAAGCATAGATAATGATTGGCTCTTCTCAACTTGATTACACATCCCAATTCATAGGGATTCAAATGAGCCAAGGCCGTGCCACTACATGACATGGCACTTAAAACATGTCATTCTTGATTCTCCCCAAAACATATCTGGCCGTTATCATGTTGCCTTGTTTTTGTGTTCGTGTCAATTTTAGTTTCATGTCAGGGCTCTTTAATGACCAGTATGGCCTCAAGCGTGTTATAATAAAATAACATACGCAATAAAATAACCGTTAGAACATCCATATCAACATATAAAACTAAACCATGTATCTAAGATGTCCCCCATCGTGAATCCCCAACATCACTGACACTATACCCCCTGCAGATCGTCTTCCTTTAAGAATTCCATAAGGCCAGAATATGGATATTTTACAGAAAGACTTTGTTTTCTTGGTGCTAAAACCACAGGACAAGCCTCAAGGAAAAAGGGTATTCCTAAGTCAACATTTGAAAATAATGTAGAAAGCTCTCATACCATGTGTCTGTGCATGTGAATAAACATTTAGATGAGTATGCGTATGCAAATTTGCATGTATGTGTGGGCATACATATTAATAGTGTTATAGTGGTAGTATTTTTCTGCATGAATTAAATAGTATCTCACTATGAGAAAAATATAATTACAATAAAATATGGGATAGAGCAGAGAAGTGAAAGGTATTCTCCAATGGGAAAAAAGGAAAAAGTTGGTCCTCTAAATCTCAAACAGAATTTATGGCCATACTAGACAGAAATAACCAAGCCACAAATAAACACCAGCATAAACATATTCAATAAATGACCAATAGATATAGATGATAAATTGAATGAGGATGCCACGGAGGCATGACAGACAGAGAGGGACACCATGCTTGGTAGAGTTAACAAAGTTGGACTGGCAATGAAGAAACATAGCTGGAATTTATTGAATTTAAATAAAGCACTAAAGATAGCAATAACAATTACCTTGGTCAACGGCTGGAGCTACCAAGATCAAAATCCATGGTGTAGTCATACTCAATTGTTGGAATTACAGAGGCCATGAATTTCAAGAATAAGAATAGATACCTGTGAAAATAAATAACTGATTGTAGCACGTCATACAAAATTAGAGGAAATAAGAAGAATAAAAGATCACTCCTGCTTCTATACTCAGCCATTAGCAGTGACATGATTTACAAAAAGTAGTGTTCAGGTTTAGAAATTTGCACTTTAATCACCAGAAAAGAAAATTGCATGTTGGGCTTACCAACTAGGCTTTTCCTTCTCTTTTTGTTTTAAGATGTCCGATGATAGTGACAAGTATAAATGTTCAACAACTATTCCAAATAAAATTCACGATTGCCATATCATTGAACTCTCCCACAGAATGGGTGAACAGTCATTCCATTAAGTCCTTATTACATAGGACTCAATTTCAGAAGAATCATATCAAGAAATAGTTTGAGTGCTTCATGGATTCCCAAGAACCCAAAGAAATATTTATAACGTATTTGTGGGTAGACCAAGTCAAAGGGCGCTAATCCAACTCTTCAATGAAGCCATATGTCATCAAATTCTATTATGGACAATTAAAATGATTGATAACATTATCAATTCACAAAACACAAATTTTTAATATCTCAAATCAGCTGGTAAATCAAAATATAATTAGGTAATGGGGAAAAGTAAATGAGCATGCTTAACAGTAAGCTCTAAAAGGTTTACACTTTTGGCCATTCATCAGATCTCACCATGTTCAATATTAGAAGATAAGGACTATTCATTCTCAAAGGAGGGGTTGAAAGTACATTTTCACTGAAAAAGCATTTCTGAAGTTAATAGTTGAACCATTTGCATGAGATATGGATGATGTTACAGCATCCGGTACCAGAGCTATCCTATACATCTAATCAGACAAAATGCCAAATGGAGTAATTGAATACCAAAGGTAGCATCTTATATGATAAAGAAAAAGGGTTTACTTGTCAACTTCTGGTTCAACTCCACGTGACATCAGCACATCAATGATTTTCTTCATCACTGCTCCATGCCGACAAGGATGAATAGATGCATGCTTCCCAGGCAAGTGAGGGTGGTCCTCAATTGTTACCTGCATATAGATTCAATAAGCATACAATTTAATTCACAGAATAGCGGAAACCACCCAAACATAATCAATGAGGATTATAGTCACAGCATTATAATTGATAACTAACATCCATTCCTTGTAAATCTACTCAAATAAACAAAAACTATCATTTCAAGTTGGACATAATCATCCAAATGTCTGTCTCACCGTTTTGCGTGCATGGTCTTGACTAACATCTTCAAGGACTAGTTCTGGTTGCAAAAGCATCCTTGACTGCCACAAGACAGAAATTGGTATTTAATAAATTGGTCTGGTTTCTAGGGCATACAATTAAATATGGTGGAAGAGACAATATGTTTCCCAAAGTCACCTTTTGGTCGCTGATAATAAAGCATAAAGTACATGTGCTATAGGATACATATATTCAATTGCCCAGAATGCAAGATATGACAATCCTAAGAAATCAATAAGAGTAAAGTACTGGAACTCAAACCATGATAGAACTGCCAACACAGACACAAGCATGCATGAAAAAGAAAACTGGAAACAAAAAAGAAGATTTCACCCTGTAAATATTAAGAGCCCGCAAATGACACCATAATGTAATTGTAGTCCAGGAGGCCTAGGTCTACATCCTCTCTGTTTGAGGAACATACATAGTATAAACAATCACAAAGGTCCATTTGAATCAGCAGAGGCTAGTGACAATGTTGACCATGGATTAGAGATATTAGGAAAACTGATTTATTATTTAGGAATCTTATGAAAAGTAGAAGTCATTTTGTGCTAGGTTACATTATAAAAAAATGATTTATTTTTAGAAACTGCTCAAAGTAACTTCTCAAGATAGCTAGGAATCTGGTTTTATATAAATAAATATTCTGATTTTTTAAAAAAATTCAAATAACCATCTTCAAATTTCTCAAAAGCTTTTTTTAAAAATTTAAACAGATAAATTAGCTCATAGAGTGCATAAAACTGACTCCACCACTAAATAAACAAGAATTCTCATTAAAATTCCAACATTTTCATATCATTCATCTGCACAAACCATCTCTCTCTCTCTTGGTTGGAAGTGTCAAGGTCACGCACACAAAGGCAAACCTTTAAATACATGTTTTAATAGCTCCAGTAAATGAATACACTGGAGTAACAATGAAATATACAAGTGGCAAGGGTCAAGTGAGTAACACTGACCTCGTCATATCCAGTAAGCCACACTCGAGGGGTTTGATAGTACTTGTCATACCTGCAAACCAAGGAAAGGATAGCTTTTCTAGATAGTTGCCAGAACACTAATTGGTTTCTAATGTAAAATAAGTACCAAATGGACCACAATTATAATGTCAATCATACAAGATCACATCACTGCTCTGCATGACATTAAAATGAATGAGTTTTAGGAGAAGCAGAATCTGCTAAATGACATTTAAGATCGATATTGAAACTGAACTTACGTGATGCTGACATCATATGTTCGGGTTCGAAGAATATTATCATCGTCAGGTTCTTGAGCTACTAGATATGTGGACTGAAGAGTTGCACCCATTCAGCGTAACAGCACATAAACGACACAGATCAGAATTATCATACCAGTAACCAAAAAAAAAAAAGCAACAACAAAAATAAATTATTTAACAAGAACCATGCAAATGCAGAATAACACGAAATAGTGCAAAGAAATTATACAAGTGAAGAAAATTCATAGTTGAAAATTTTGAATTAAGGTTCACATCCGGGTATGTCATGATCCACTCATACAGTAACGTTGAAATTGTAAGAACAGAAGTGCGGTTGTGGTAGTGAGTGAGTACAAAAAATCAACACCATTAAAAAATTGTAAGATCTCTAACCAGGCAATAAGTGAAACATGAGGGACATACTACATTCAAACAAACCCTAGTGAACCATAAAGTATTGAGGAGAAAAACAATATAATATTAAATCGTTACAATTCAAGCTATGAAGAGCCCTCCAAGATAATAAGTGCAGTATCAACTTACAGGATCTGTAATAATAACATTGTCAGCTTCTTCAAACTCTTCCATGTCTGGAATATCCTCTTCTTCCTCACCTCCCATGTTGGAAGAAATTGGCTTAACAGAATCCTTTTTGCTGATTTCTATGCTTTCCATGGAAGGTAAATTCTCATCCTCATCAGATTTACCTTCTAAAAACAAAAGAAAAATGCAGAAATAAGATCAAATAATCAAATAAATAATGTAAAAGCACAATAGACTTTAGTCAAAAAACGTACCCTTAGGCTTCCCATGAGTTGCTAGCCACCCATCATTATCTTCATCATCAAGTAAAACTTCTCCTCCAGCAGCTTCATACTCTTCTTCTACAGATGCAGCTCTTCGAAGACAAGGCACTGTTAAAACAAATTCAAAATTCAGCACCAAATAGGACAACTACAAATGAGGGGACATGGCAGGAACCATCTGATTCAGTAAGGGATGATTAAGCCGTTAAAGTGAAAAAAAATAGCTATTTTGTTCAGCTCCCGAGTTCTAACCCATGTTACCCATATCTTGCAGAGCCAGTCAGTCACTGTATCTCAAATGACATGTCCTCTCACAATTATGTATTCTAACCCAAAAGCCAAAGAAAAGAAAATAAAAAGGTAGAATCTTTGGCCAGATACGATCTGGACCCAGGTTCACATCAGCAATTATGACTTGCTCACATCATCCACTCAATCCATTATAAATGCTAACTAATAATAATTAGTACCAGTATTAAATAATGAAACCATCATTACACAAAATAATAAGCAAAAGGCTTGGCCAATTTCAGATGCCCTTTGAAGCATCAGATTAAGCAAGAGGGTCAGCACGGCAAATCCAATGCTTCCTAGTATCATAAGTTTATTCTAAATAAAACAAGAGAAACCAAAGAACCATGGGGGAAGGGGGAGAAAACTAAAAATGATAAGCACAGATAAGTAAAGCAGTGTACATTTAGGTCCTCCTCCTCGTAGATATTTACAAATTATTTACATAATGTGCTACAATTCATTACAATGGAAACTTTGTCATGTAAATCAAGCAATTGAAATTATGAAGTCGCCATGCTTTCTTTGTTTTGCATGTGTTTTGCATGTGGTCATAATTGATGGGAGTGCTGAATAAGACTCCCAAGTATACACAGCTTGCTTATTAGATAATTAACTACCTGATAAACTTCCAACAATATTCATCACCGATTACTTGGTTTTTCAATATCAACAATAACTACTACATTAAATGGTAGAGCTGAGACACATAGAACGCAGCACATTTATGCAGAAGCACAATTAGAATTAGTATAATGCTTTCGTAAGGGGAAAATAACTGCTTCCAATAAATAAAAGTAAATCAAAACAAAAAAAATATGGAGCATAATTTCATGCAGGTCTTACCATTCCTAGTAATTAAGAATTGCTTCTGTGGTGGTAAGTATGGCTTCCTCTTGTTAGGCTCACCTGATTCCCTGTTTTATATCATGAAACATAGAATCAACATAAGCATACAGAATAAAGTTCAGCAACTGAAAGAGTAGCATTTACATGGATAAAAAAGATTCAAACTTTGATAAATGGCTGGTTAATCATCATGAATTCAATTCGAATGCCCAACCCTCAGTCACAACATGATCACACCAGAGCTCCACTAGAGAAGTAATAATATATTTACCTATAATAAGAATTTCTTCCGAAGGGTACACCCTTACCTAAACAAAGCTTCAAACTAAAGTAACGATCTGGTGCCCTTCCCCAAATTAAGAAACAGGAATAATGCGCAAATATTCGTATAATTTTCCGAGATACTAAATGGGAATGTCCAGTAAATTACCAGGACCAGGTGGGGCATTTGGCGACGAGATTATCGCCGGCTTCAACGAACTCGGTGACACTGAGAACTCCTTTCTCTTTGAAAGCCGAGACAGTTCGAGGGCCCGTGATCCTCTCCATAGTGCCTTTGAAAGCTTCGTGGAGTTTCTGAGACAAAACCATCTCTTCCTCAAAGGACTTGGCAGCTTCTGAGAGAAATTGTCGAAGGAAGAGGATCGGACGATTTCAATGCCAGAGAGAGGCTTGGATTTTCCAAGTGATTCGAACAATCAAGGAAGTTTGGATTGTCGTTTTCGTGCCAAGTAACCTTTCATTGTGTTGCTTCCATCTAAATTTTCTGAAGTACTTTTAATTTTTTCCCCCTTAATTGCCAATAAAAAATGTCTCCGCAAGCCCGCAGACATATGTTTTTCACATAAAAAGACTCATTTGCCCCTTCAAAAAAAAACCAATGTCATAGTTTAGGGTTGTTTGAAATTATTTTATTTTATTATTTAAGAATTAATATTTTATAAACATATTTTAAAAATAAAAAAATAATAAAAATAAATATTTTTTTTATTTTTCTTTATTTTTCAGCATAATAATCTAGAACACTTAAGAGTTATTTTTATTTTTTTATTCTTCAAAATAATATTTTATTTTTTTATTTTCTAAAATACTTTTAAAAATATTATCAAACAGATTTTTTTATTCTTTTATTATGAAAATAAAAAATTATTCCTAAAATAAATTGCCAAACAGACCCTATCTCTTCTCCTCCTCTCCTCTTTCTCTTTCTCTTCCTTCTATCTTTTCTATTTCATTTCATCATCATCTTCTTCTTATAGGATTCTAAATTTTATGAGATTTATAGGATTTATGGGAATTGCAATGAAATTTTTAGAAACTGCTATAAAAGTTTTGAAAATCAAAACTTGTTATCATTAAATTGTGGATATCTAAAGTTGAAATTTCTTGACTTTAAATTATGAATAACTAAAATTATACTTGTAAATATTCGAACAGTTAATTATAAATTTGTGAACTTTAATAGCACGTCAACTTTGAACTTTTGCTTGTTGAGATATAGATTTTTACTTATAAATATTTGAATTTGTATTTATGAATATTAGAACTTTTATTTATAAATTTTTGAACTTACCTTATTTATGCAAGAGTATAAAGTGGTTCAGGTGTGACATTTTAAACTAGTTAATAAAGCATCCCAATAATGTCAAAGTTTAAAGTGTCCTTGCACTCACAATAGGAACAAGAGAAAAATAAAAATAATAAGATAAAGCATTATAATGTAATTAATATTCCTGTAAAATTGTGTCTGTGCTATTTTAAGTTGATATTTTGTAAATGGATGTATGGTATACATTGTGATGTATGTTTGGAGAACACTTGTTGTGGTGTAAATAAAATTATTTGCAATAATCATTTGTACAGTTACCTAAGTTATAAATAACAAAAGTCTATCTATAATATGAAAAAGTATATTTATTAACATTACAATATTCATCTATTTTACATGATCTATGTGATTAAACATTTATAATGTTTTTGTTACATGAACAATAGAAAGGTCATATAAAATATAAAAAGGTCCATCTATTAACAATACAATATCTATCTATTTTACATGGTTCATGTGGTTAAACATTTAGAATGTTATTGTAACATAAACCAAAAAAATACTAGTATATAACAAACAAAGTTCATTTATTAATAATACAATCTCTATATATTTCATATGATTGGTGTGATTAAACATTCATAATGTATTTTTAACTTGAACAACAAAAATCTGTGTATAACATAACAAGGTCAATTTATTAACAATATAATGTTCATCTAATTCTATTTAAATGGTTTGTGTCATTAAGTTCAATATTTATAAAAGTTTCTTAAGTTATAAACAATAGAAAGTTTATATAATATGACAATATTCATTTATTAATATCACAATTTCCATCTATTTTACATGATTTGCATGCTTAAGTATGGGTAAACTGTATAGATGATCATTGCAAATAATTTTATTTACACTACAATAAATATTTTCCAAACATATACCACAATATATGTCATATATTCATTTACAAAAAACTAACTTGAGATAACACACATACAGTCCTAGAGGAACACTAATTACATTTTGATTCTTCATCCTATTATTTTTATTTTTCCTTCAATTTTTGTTGTGAATGTGAGGGTATTTTGAGCTTTGATATTATTGAAATGCTCTAATAACTAATACAAAATATTACACCCAAACCATTTTATACTCTTGTACAAATAAGTAAAGTTCAAAAATTTATAAGTACAAGTCCTAATATTCACAAGTAGTTGTTCAAATATTTACAAATAGAAGTCTATATCTTGATAAGCATAAGTTTAGAGTTGATGTCTTGCCAAAATTTACAATTAAATGTTCAAATATTTATAAGTATAGGTTTAGTGATTTACAATTTTAAGTTTAGAATTTTTGATTTTAAATATTCACAACTCAATAATAACAAGTTCTTAATTTTACAACTTCTGTAGCAGTTCTCAAAAATCTCATACAATTTCCAAAAATCTCAAACAGGCTAGAATCATTATCATTGCTACACTAATACTCAGCGCCATTACTATCGTTCTCCAGAAGTCACTCACCATCAATGCCAAATCGTGCTTGCTCTCATGGTTGAATGCTCTTATAATCTGACTTAGCCTGCCAACGCCAACATGACCCCATAAATTTGCAGCTGCTACAATCTTGCAATCCATCCCTCTACCACTAACACAATTGTTTCACTCCGCCAACCACAGTCAAGTGACACCTTCAAACAACTATCACAACAAGAAAATAAGAAAGAGGAGGGAGAGAAGGAAGAAGATGACGAAGAGGAAGAGAGAGAAAGAAGAGAGGAGGAAGAAAAAATTAGATGGAACGTTGGTTAGTTTTGGGAAGGGCAAATGAGTCTTTTCTCATTAAAACATATGTTCATTTAAGACCCTCAAGTCTATAGGGACATTGCATATTATATTGTGCCCTGAATGCAATTTTTTTGGCCCTGAGACCCTTGGGCGTGATTCTCCCATTCTAATGAGTAACAAGAAACTCTAGTATTAAACTTCTTTTATTATTTATTGGCCAAAGCAAAGCTTCAAACATGGGATAACATAAAAAATACCTTTGAGCTTAGTTACTGTTTGAATCTTTATAATTTTAAAATAAAGGAAAATATTTTCAAAAAATAATATAGTTACAATTAATCTAAAAGACCATCATTAAAAAAAAAATACACAAATTAGCAATTATGTAAAAAAAAATGGATATTACGTGTTTAATAAAACTAAAGAATGAAGATCTATGATGTGCAGATATGATGCGTAATCGAATACTCCAATACATTAATACTTTTATTTAAAAAAATAGAATACAATATGTTTAGGGTATATGTGTATGTATTTATAAAAAAATTCATTGAACATATTAATATATATGAATTCTAAATTTTATTTTAAATATTAATTTAATTCATAGAATATTTTGAAACAAAATAAAATCTACAAAATAAGTTACAACTTAAAATGGATATACTTAAAAATAAATAGTAAAATATAAGTAAATAAATAAATTATTAATCTTTGATAACATGAAAAACCTATTTTCTAAGAATGTTAATCTTTTCTTTAAAAAATCATAAAAATATATTAGAAAGAAAAAAATTAATATGATAATTTTTAACAGAAAATTAATTTTTATGAAAACAGCTTATCAATTCTAAAGTATTGACCTGTAAATTTAAAAATATTAAATAAATATTAAAAATTAAAAATATTTTTAATTAAAAAATAATATTTCAATACTTATGTCAAAGTCAGTACATCAAGTATTTTGAAATATTGATATTTCATAAATAGAAGTAAAAATTTCTCAGTGAAAGATTCTGCAACTAAACGGAATAAAAAGAAAATCACGATACCGAGGGGTTCCCCCAGAAACCAAAAGAATATTAAGATAGAAATAGAGTTTTTAAATTATAAATACTCAACAATTGGCCATTATTATTACATTATGTCAAGTTGCAATAAAAAAAATACATTATATTAAGTTAAAAAGTTATTTTAAATTAGTCAATCAACATTCATCAAAAAAATTATATATATCAGGAGGGCCAAGCTAGGGTTTTATTCATCATTTGTTTTAGCTCAATCTTATTGGAGAGAATTATATACAAATCTCACTCAATACTATTTCATCTTTATTTATAAAAAAATTATTTCTTTTATGTATATTTTTATAAAACAAAATCACATATTTCAATTGGCATTTATTACACATTTTCAAAAATCCCTCATAATTTACATTAACAAAAAATAATTAATGTATACTTATATGTTGATTAATATAAGATATTTTAGTTCAATTCTTTATTTTTAGACATAATTATTATGATTAATTAACTTTTTTATACTGTGTAATACAGTTTTTTTTATATATACAAAAGAAGGAGTACAATTAATTATTTTCAGATTCATTAACAACTGAGCTTTTATTCTTTTAAGTTTATTTATTAATAAATTTAAAAATAATTAATTATATTGAGTGAGATGTTAGGTATTTTTTTTTTTTAGTTTGTACGAAAGCTAACAACTTTGGTGGGTCAGCTCGTACTTGGATGATTATCTCGTGGACTAATAGCAAAAGAAAAGGGAAGAATTTCTGGAAAGTCCCTTAGCAGGGGATTAGTTTCAACTAGGTCACTTGAAATAGGGAAATGCCATCTAAGTCCCACGAGGCTTCAATGAAATTAAAAATTAAATTACACTTATGAAAATGGCCATGATTCCATAGAAAAACAATGAAAATTACCTCCCCCAACCATCATTGAGGTTGAAAACACAATCGACAATCACCAAAGCTATGTTGCTAGCATCAAGTAATTTCTACTAATTGCCACCTAACAGTTAATTAACTGAAAACCTAATCAATATTAAGTTTCTCAAATAATACTTATTTTAATATTTATATGATTTTTATAACTTTTAGTCAACTAAAAATTAAAATAATGAAATTTTAATGATGATGGAACATTAGCCCTACTCATAACTTTAGGATGATCAATGTGCCCGCACAAAAAATCAATAATAAAAATGTAACTTAATTCATATTTTCGAGGACATCTTTCATCTATGGTATATATTATTTTTAAAATTTATTTAAACTTGCTGATAAAAATGTGATTTTTTAGATTATGATTTAAATAAATATGTTTTTAACCAACATATTTAAATAAACATGTTAATTTTTCTCAAATAAAAGGTGAAACAAGTGGAAAGATGCTTTTTGAGAGGAAACT